AATTGGGTTTTAATAGGGACGTTTTTAGGGCCAAATCCCCTTCCCTTGGGGGCCGGGGTTCCCGTTTTTTTTTCATTTTTTTTTTTTTTTTCTTTCCTTTTCTTTTTATATCCTTTTTTTTTCTTTCCTTTTTTTTTTTTTTTAGGGGGGGGGGGGGGGGAGAGATGCGGTTGGATCTTCCAGTTCGTGTGTGGATAAATAAAGGGTTCCTCACACAGTCGTAGCAGCCAGCGAGCGAGTACAAAGATCCAGGGGGTTTTATTTAAATACTATGATTTTGACAAGCGATAGTATCATGATTATGTAGAGTGCAAATTAGCAAATATGTTCCCGGTAGTGTGGCTCGTGTGCAGAGATCGTACTGCGTGATATTTTATTCCTTCTGCAAAGGCTGGCTCTGGCAATTTGATGTCACCTCCCTCCTATGAGGGGATGATTCAAAGGGAACTCAGACTGGTACAGGATATGTCCGAAGGATAGGGGGAAATGTTTCGAATGGAAGTGATATCGCTTCCCTAGGTCTCCGATGTCATACCTTTAGCCATATAACATCTTCTTAGGATGGCTAAATGCACTATTTATGATATTTTAAAATTGGGCTTCCGGTTTGATAACTTGTAGCCGCGGGAAAGTTGCTTATTACTATGTCCCGTTAATCTTTTATTTTGCATATCGGGGGTATATCAGGGATTAGGGATTAGCCGCTTTCCGCTCTGGAAGACCTGGGTTCACAGGATTGCTTTTATCAGCCACGGGAGCTGACTTAGCTTGCCACTGTGAAATATTTTATTCAACAGTTAAAACAGATACTATAGATATAAGAAGTAGGGGGGGTCAAGAGGATAAGCTTAGCAAGGGAATCTCTGGCTGATGTCTCTTCGTCGCAAACAACGCACGCTGCTGCAAGCAAAGGGTGCATCAATAAATACAAAGCAGATCACAACCCTTGATAGATCGCTCACAACACAAATCTAGCAAGGGCATCTATATTAGGCTGGCAGTCTGGCGCAGGTGTGCGGGTGGTAAGGATATTCAAATATTAAAATTGGATAACTATGCGATGTCCTCCGTACTCTGTACTACGGCGTATGTTTGTGTTCAATCCATTTCCGGCTCCGATTGGTGGCGTGTTGCAGTGGAGCCTCAAGACAGGGAGCGGGCTGGAGACTAGACCCGAAACAGGTATGCCAAGCCCTCTGGAGGCCTTCTCGACCCAGCCGATCGCCAAACCACAAGCAACGTTCTCCCTCAAAGGACGTTTCTGCCAGTGACATCTGCTCCGATTCCCATCTACGCTGTCATATGGCGTCGGGTTTGGGTCCGTCTAATGAATGACTCCTCGTCTATTCGGTGGTTTTTGAGGCCTGCTGCTGTTCTCAAAGTTCCCCCACCGCAGTACCAAACAATGCGTTGAGTCTGGTCTTGTCGCATACTTTTCTGCACCCCTTGACGTCGATCCCTCCTCCCCCGCGCTTCCTCCACTCCCCATGATGGATGACAGCCTTATACTTGGGGAGGACTTGCCGCTTCCTCCAGAGCGTCTGTTTGAACGCTTGTCGCAACTACCCGGTTACATATGGGACCAGAATCTCCGACCCTTCCGCTCCTCCTACGATCATTGGCATGTCTCCGGTGTCAGGCTGGCTTCAGATACAGATGTGCCCATCCTTACTCCTTCCTCCTCTCGATCGAAAGAGTCCTCATCAGCATCCGCACACACCTCTCCTCGCATCGAAAACAGACTTCACTCTCGACATAACTGGAGAAGTAGCCTCAGCGAATCAAATAGCGATGTCTCCTCTCGCAATGAGCCCGACGCCTCATGGGTACAGGTAGTGGCTCGTGTCTCAAGCCATGTTATAAGACTGGAGCGCGAGTTCCATACGCTGAAATCGATTATTCAGATATCGGATCCTGAATGCAAACACACTGTTCGCCCCATTGATATTATTCGCCTTGCTCCCCAGCCAGGGGATCGCGGCCCCTTCTTGGTTGCCCTTTACGAGTCCCAAGGCCCCAATCAATTGAAAGAGTATGTAGGCTTCGGTCCTATATTTTTCCAGACATATAGGGGAAATGTATTAGCAGAGAGTACGTCTCCGGGCACCCAGGTTCCCATCGCAACCTTCTTGGATTTTGCCATCGGTGCCTGCGAATGTTTAGAATTGCTGCATTATGGCTTAAAATGCATACATGGTGAAATCAGACCAGATGCCTTCCATTTCAATGCCGAGACCCGTGCAGTGAAACTCTCAAACATAGGTAATGGTGCCAGATCGTTCGATAATGCGTTGAGTGAAGGCTGGTCAATCCTGTCACGCGAGTTGGGCGTGAAAAATAAGCTTCAGTTCATCGCGCCTGAACAAACAGGGAGATTGCCAACGGAGCCTGATAGCCGAACTGATATATACGCTCTTGGTGTGTTATTTTGGTCGATGCTTGCCGGACAACCTGCATTCGATGCTAGTGATCCAGTCGAAGTTGTACAAAATGTGCTTGGAAAAACATTACCCAAGGTTTCCCGCAAAAGGATGGATGTACCGGACGCAGCCGCCGCTGTTATCCAAAAAATGACCCACAAGCAAATCAATGATAGGTACCACACGATATCTTCTGTGAAGTGGGATCTCCAGCAAATATCAAGGCTGCTAGGTGATGGCGACCAAGAAGGATTAAACAATTTCGTCATAGCCCAACGAGATGTTTCATCTTTTTTTACGCTACCAGCAGCTATGTTTGGGCGGAAAGAAGAGCATGAAAAAATTCTTCAAATTATTGACAAAGTCCAAAAACGCCATCAGGCTGCTGTGGCCCAAGCGGCGGCCAAGTCAATTCACTCTCTTTATGCCCTTAGCTCAGGCTCATCTGTTTCCGATAGTCGTGTGGATGGCGTCGAGGCCGGGGATGGTTCCAGCGACTCTGGATCATATGGTATTGCCGCTATTAGAACCCAATCTACGTCTAGTCCTTTCGCTCTTGCACATACATCAACGCAGGACTCAGCCTGTAGTGCCGATTCTTCTTCAAGTCAAAAGACACTTCTTCTCTCCAGTCGAGTTAAAAGTCCCACCGGTTCAAGAAATTCTGGGGACATCAATGATCGCGAAAGTCACTTGACTTCCTTTGTTGGTAACCACAACCAATTCGATTCTCTTGCACCTCTAGGCCGGCGAAAGGTACAGGCAAAGTATCGGCAAAGTGGCCGCTGTGAAGTGATAAGCATATCTGGTGTTGCTGGTCTTGGAAAGTCAGATCTTCTGAACCGACTACAACCAGAAATCCGCAAACATGGCTATATCGCTGTTGCTCGCCTGGATCGCTCACGGAGGGTTCCATTCGAACCATTTTTTAAAATCCTCGCTAGTCTTCTTCGTCAGATTTTCTCCGAACGTGACGTTTCAACCGATTACCACAGCTCAATACGTGTCACCCTGCAGCCAATATGGTTATCCCTCCACCAAGTCCTCGGCCTACCAGAAAATTTGATATACCCTGTGGGTGTGAATAGCGAGTCCATGAACTTCTTGAAGTCTAATGCTACCCCACTTCAAGTACTTAAAGAAGAGACAGAGGAGTCATTTCATCTTCAAGATGACGGATTTATTAGCTTAAGCGCTGGTCAGACTTTAAAGGATTTTTGTCACGGGCCATCGTCCAACGCTATTCTCCGATTTGCAGATACTCTGATTGAAATATTGAGGATTATGTCGTTCCATAAACTGATATGTGTGTGTTTGGATGATATCCAATATGCTGACGTGGAAAGTGTTCATACTCTTCTTGAGATCATCAGAACTAAAATTCGATGCGTCCTTATGATCACGAGCCGACCAGAAGAAATAACTTGTCCTGAATTAAAGGCACTTTTCCAGACGGAGACGGCCAATGTTACCAGGATCGAATTAAATCCATTAAGTGAAGCGGAGGTTCACGAATATGTTGCTGCCACGATGCACCAGCCTGCTAGCAAAAAACTGCTTCCTCTTTCCGCAGTGGTCCAAGGAAAAAGCCAAGGCATCCCGTTTTACATGCGAATGATCCTCGAAACCTGCTATCGGAAAAACTGTATATGGTATTCCTGGAGAGATTCTGCTTGGCAGTTTGACTTGGACAGGATATTTACAGAATTTGTGTCCCCCTCTTATGGCGAAGGTCTCGGTACAGATTTCATTGCCAAACGTTTCCAAGAGCTTCCCGTGGAATCCCGGTCGATTCTTTTGTGGGCTGCATTGTTAGGTAGCCCATTTTCCTTCACTTTAGTTCAGAGGTTGCTCTCAGGGGAATTCCTGTTCGCTATGGGTGGGGAAGATGCGGAGGACATTACATGTCCGCGACGGACACCTTTGACACAGACGAAATCGGGAATGGTTTCAGGACTTCAGCACTTGCTCCAAATGTATATTATACTTCCAGGGGAAACTGATGATGAATTTAGGTAAGCTTCCCAAATTCCTGGTCCTTTTCTTCTCAATTTTTTTTTCCACCTATGTAATATAAATTTGCTTGCCATCTGGATCGAAAAGGCCTGATTTAGCTAATTATTCGAAAAACAAAAATTAGATTCGCCCACGATCGCTACGCCCAAGCTGTATCAAGTATGAGAGAGTGTCATAATCAAGAGAAAATGCACTTCATTGCCGCACAAACCCTCATGAAATACGGACCAACAGATAGCACTTCACTATATTCGAGGGCTCAACATATTCAGTGCGCAGCAAGATTGATCAAGCAGCGAGTTCACGAACGGATCAAATACAGAGATGCTCTATACCACGCAGCTCGGACTGCTTTCCAGTCTGGAGCAAAGGCTACTGCGTTAAGCTATTTTCAAGCTTGCCTGTACCTGCTGCAGGATGACCCATGGGATAGCAATGCGGAAGACGTTTACTATGAAGAAACACGAGAGCTCCATATTCAAACAGCTGAGATGCTTATATCTAGTGGAAAGTCAGAAGAAGCCATGGACATCCTTGACATTGTGTTTAAGCGCGCACATACGGCTGTATGCAAGGCCAGGGCATGGACACTAAAAAGCAGGATACTCGCCCACAATGGCGATTTTTCTGCTTCCCTGGAGGCTTTGTTCACCGGTATGGAAGATTTGGGCGCAAAAATCAACCGGTCAACCTCCTGGGAAAGCTGTGATGAGGCGTACGAGAAGCTAAGCGCGTACCTTAAAGCTGCTGACCTCGACGTCGTTTTTTCTGTACCCCTCAGTCAGGACAAATCATTGATCACCCTTGGGTCACTAATGGCTGAAGCTTTGGCTGTGTGTATCTGGGGCCAACCCTTGACGTTTCTCCAGCTGGGGATTGAAATGATGAATACTTATTTATTTCGTGGAGCCTTCTCGCAGATCACCTTTCTCTGCACTTACATGTCCATGATTGCAATGAGCCGATACAAGGATCTCGAACTTGGTGTCAAGCTTAGCGATGCCGCAGTTAGTCTCTTAAATCGCTTCAACGAACCCTGGGTTCCTGCGCGGGCTGTTACCACCCATAATTATTTTGTTAATCATATGAGGATGCCGATGTCAACGACATTACCACACCTCGAGAGTGCCATGGAAGCAGCCTTTTTGCTGGGTGAACGATATTTGATACTGGTCAACGTGTCTGCAATGGTATTCACGCGATTTTGTCTAGGCCACGACCTTGGCGAGTTGGAAGCACTGTGTAATTATGCACCCGAGGAAATCGCTGATTGGGAAAACGACCCACGTGGCGGAGTTTATATCGTCTCTGTCCGGTAAGATTCCTCTAACCCCAACTTCAACTGTCTTTCATCTCCAAGTAAAATAAAATATGTTACTGAGATCCCGATTTTTAGGCAAGTTGCACGTGCGCTCCAAGGGACTACTTGCATCAACTCTGCGGATCATATTCTATCTGACGACCGCCACAACAGCGAGAAGTATATTGCTATTCATGGCCTGAACTCCCACACTCTTGATTTGTATCGTGCAATGAGTTTGGTGCCACTCTATTTCTACGGTTATTACGAGAAGGTAGTGGAGATTGGCACTGATATGATGAAAACGGTGGCTGGCCTCTGGTCGCTGCGCGCTGCCACTCAGACATATTTCTATCTTTCTTTAGCTATGCTTAACCTCCATCTTGATGATCCATCCAGACCTGGCCTCGAGGAGACCATCAACCAGGTCAGGGAGTACAAGAAAGAAATCGACTTTAAGGCCCGAGCATGCGACGCGAATTACGGTACATGGGCATTATTGCTTGAAGGTCTAATATGTGAGGCATCCGGCAAATTTCAGAGTTCTCTCGTTGCCTTTGAGGCGGCACTCGATCATGCCCAGTGGCACAAATGGCCTCTGGAGGAAGCCCTTGCTCTCGAGCTTCAAGTCGACTTTTTTGTTCGACGTGGCGTTAAACGGGCTGCTCAGTATTTGCTGCAGGAAGCAATCGCCTCTTGGAACCGTATCAGTGCAACAGGAAAAGCTAAGCACCTTTCAGAAAAACATGAGTGGCTTCTAAGAGTTGGATCTTCAGCATCGAGATCGAATGATGTTGGTTGTCAAACTGTTGATTCGATACTGAATGTTCCGACGAGAAATACAGAACCAGCGTCAAACTCCATTCATCCCCACCTTGAAGATGAACGTAAACGAGAGTGGCTAGAGGAAAATGAAGAACACGCTGATAAACGGTCTTTGGATATATCTGGGCTTGGTCTAGGTATGAACCTCGTAACACACCACCCCTACTCGTAGTAATGAGACTTCTAACCACATCTTTTTTTAATTTTTATTTTCAGATATTATCGACTTGTCCAGCATTCTTGAATTTAGTCAGGTCATGTCCTCCGAATTACACATAGACAAGCTACTCACCAAAATGGTTGGCATAATACTCGAGTCGTGTAGCGGGTCCGAATTAGCACTTGTGGTCACAGAATTTGAGCCATATGGTTGGTTGGTTGCTGCGGCTAGCGATCACGAGAATGGAGATGTAGCTTTCGCCGATGGCCTCGCTTTCTCTGAAGTGGAAGATAAAATGGCACAACAAATCACACATTATACACTGCGTACGAGGGAACCAGTACTCGTCCATAATGTCCTGGATGATGAACGTTTCTCCAATGTCAGCGAAGCCTACGCCTCCCGAAACCCGCAGGGAAAATCCGTTATAGCCCTGCCTATTATTCAAGCCAACAATCTTCTTGGAGTCATTCACGTTGAGGGCAAGCCCAATTCGTTTACTCAACGTAATCTAGTTGTGCTCCGTCTTGTGTGTAATCAAGTTGGAATATCATTAGCAAACGCTTTCCTCTATCGGAACGCGAGTAAAGTTAGGTAAGCTTTTCTCGCACCACAAACATATGCCGCGCTGCTTACGATTTTTGCCAACTTGCTGACGTTTACTTCTAGTGCTGCTAATGCCGCTATGGTCGAGGCTCAGAAACGTGCCTTGTCTCTCGCCAGGGAAGCGGAACGAAAGTCCAAAGTCGCAGAAGCGGAGGCTAAACATAACGTTAAGCTCAAAGAAGATGCCGCCAAGGCTAAGTCAATATTTCTGGCGAATGTTTCTCACGATTTACGTACACCAATGAATGGGGTTATCGGATTGTCTGAATTACTTAAGAAGACTAACTTGGACCGGGAGCAGGATGGTTACGTTGAATCAATTCGTGTGTGCGCGGATACTCTCTTAACGTTAATTAACGACATTCTCGACTTCTCCAAACTCGAAGCAGGCAAGATGAAAGTATCGACGGTTCCCCTCAACCTCAGAGAAACCATTGCGGAAGTTGTTCGTGCTCTTCGCTATACCCACCGTGACCGCGGGCTTCAGACTATCGAGGACCTTGATGGTGTTGATCCGAATTTATTGGTTTTGGGAGACCCCGTTCGCCTCCACCAGATATTTATGAACCTGCTAAGCAACAGCTACAAGTTCACTCCCAAAGGTTCCGTCACGGTCAAAGCCAAGGCAGCCGATGAAGACGATGGCCGTATTCGTATAACGTGCAAAGTTGCCGATACTGGTATTGGAATATCTGGAGAACAATTGGTTCGCCTTTTCAGGCCATTCTCCCAGGCTGACAGCTCGACAGCGAGATCATACGGAGGGAGTGGGCTTGGGTTGAGCATCTGCAAAGCGATAATAGAGGATGTGCTTGGCGGAAAGATTTGGCTCCAATCTGAGGAAGGGGTAGGCACGACTGTTACCTTTACGCTAGTACTCAGCAAAGCCCCGAAGAATGCTGTGGTGAAAACACCATGGTCTCAAGATAGCACTCAAGAAAAGAAGCAGGTCCCCATGAGACAGGCAATCAGAGATCTCAAATCTGTTTCCCGAAACAGAATCCGTGTCTGCATTGCCGAAGATAACCCGATCAATCAAAAAATTGCAGTGACTTTCGTGAAGAATTTGGGGCTGGAGTGCGAGGCGTTCAGTGATGGTCAGCAAGCTGTGGAGGCTCTTAGGCGTGCATCTGGAGAAGGAAACCCATTCCACCTTGTCCTCATGGATGTTCAAATGCCAGTTTTAGATGGGTACAATGCCACGCGCAAGATTCGCGAGGATTCGGATCCTAACGTCAACGATGTCCTCGTCATCGCCATGACCGCCAGCGCTATTGAAGGCGATCGCGAAAAGTGCATAGACGCCGGTATGAACAATTACCTCGCTAAGCCCGTCAGGTCAGATGTGCTCAGAACGATGCTTGATCGGTATCTAGCTCCTTCACTGGAGTCTGAGCTCCCGAGACGGGGTTATCGGTGGCGCCGAGCATCCTCGCATGCGGTTGCTGCCGCCCCGTCCCCCGTTGAAGAGGAACCGCAAACAAACAACGGGCATGAACTCAAATCCATGACCTCCATTCAGGGGAAGCCAGGGGATATGTATGCGTTCATGCCTAACGCTGACTCGAAACCGCCCGACAGCCCAACGGCGGGTCCCTGTTTCAGTCCCGAACAGACGACATCTCCTGCTGGTGCTGCTGGTGCTGCTGCTGCTGCCGCTGCCACCGCTGTTGATACCTCAGACACTCGTATAAATACGAATGGACATGGGGAGGGCTCAGCGCCTGCGGAGTCGTCGAAATAGGATTGCCTGTATGCATTTCTTTTTACTTCAAGCATCCAGCTATGTGCACTCTCTATGCTAGACATGGCATACACATCCTCCGGCCGTCTTACTACAACCCTGTGCTTTTCCTTTGTCTCACAGAACTCATATGTTCAGGGAAATTTTAGAATTCCTGTCTTTCTCGATTTTCTCTACTTACTTACCTTCTACACGTATGAATGCGTATGAATGGATGGATGGATGAAATTATATTCTAGCTTTTTTTTTATTATTGTCTCCGTAGTTTGTGTTTGGGCCCCTGGGTTTCTTCTTCTCTTCTTCTTCATTTTTCTGCTTAATTATTTTCACTATTTTCACATTTTCTTTACGAGAAGCGACGCCCGATGATAACGATATGGTAAAAATTCTCTGCATGGTAGGAGGGGTACTACGGCATATGGAATAGAAGGGGAATGAAGGAATTATACCAGAATACTGGCAGGCTCTTTATGTCCCTTTTTTTTTCTTTGTTTTTTTTTTTTTTTTTCCTTTTTCCAGCCTTTCCGTTTTCATCACTTCATGTATGTATATATATCTCGAACCAGCCTGGCTTCTGCCGTGGCCCCCGTCTTCCCCGTTTTACACCTCACTTCCCCTTTCCCCTTTCCCCTTTGGCTGCTGTCTATGGCGCGTGTATCATTACCACATAATTACCACCAAAGGATTATATTCTCTCTCTAAGTTTCCTTCTTGAATAGTGCCTAGTATGATGTGCATCGATCGTTGCACGGGATGTGTAATCGCTTTTATGCTAAACCAAGAAAACTGCTCAGAATCCCATTGTCAGGTTGAAAAATATGTGACAATAATGCAATGATCAACATTTCCCCCCTCATGTAAATAGAAGGGCTGAATCAACAAGAGAAGGACCTCCTCACGTTGCCCTCCTCCCAAACACCCTGAACCTCTTGACCCCACCATCCGGCACCATGGTCAACATAACGTGGCTAAATACCTTCCCTCCAACCTCATTACCCAGCAATTCCCCTTCAAACACATGTTCCAAATCCGCCTTACACGGCTGATCACCCCGTACAACCTCCACCCACCCTTCATCATCCGCCTTCGGATCCCGTCCGTCCTTAACATCCTTCTTCAGAAACCCAGACACCCTCACCGCCCTGGGGAAGTTCCCTCGAAAATCCTTCGTATCAACCACAACCCTCTCCACCGACCCTGCCAGCCCAAGCCTTACAACCGCCCTGTCCACATGGCCCGGCGTTCGCGAACGGGCGGTCTCCCACCCATCGCCCATATGCTGCCCGCGGCCGGGGAGCAGGATGTTTGACGCGGGCGTGAAGTGCTGGTTACTCGCGGAAACGACAAGGCCCCCCATCAGCGCCGAGGAAAGTTCCTCCACCTCCGTCGCCGCGGCTGCTGTCTTTGGAGCCAGCGGAGGCGGAGGCGGAGGCGGCACGGCATGGCCGTACAATCGCAGCCGCGAGAAGCCCCCGTCGGGGTACATTCTGAGGCGCACATGGGTGATTGGGTCGGAGGGGCGGGGGAGCAGCCAGCCCTGGCGGCGCGAGGGCCCGCAGGGCTGTCGGGGCAGGATGGTGGTCCAGCCGTTGAAAGTAGACTTCACGACGTCGGACGCCAGCGCATTCTCCTGGTCAACGTAAGCACCCTCGACCACGACGCCCTCGCCGTAGTTGCCGACGAAGTATGCCGTGTCGATTTCCACGCCGACGACGATGCCACTGCCGACACCCAGCTTTATGACGACCCAGTCGTACTCTTGCTGATTGTGGCGGCGTGTCTCCCAGCCGTCGTACCAGGCTCCGGTGTGGACGAAGACGCCGGGGCGGTGGATAGGCGGGGTGGGAGTGAGGAGGTTTGAGGCTGCGGCGAAGAACTCGTCGGAACAGGCGAGGACGGTGGCGTTCAGGGAGGAGGAGGCGAGGTTTGTGGTTGTGGAGGAGAAGACGGCGTCGATATCAGCAGCGGTGGGGAGAGGGGTAATCTTTCCGTCGGTATTGGAGGGGTTGTTGCTGGTCGGGATATCCATTTTTATGTTTACTTCTTTAATTGTTGTTGTTGACCTGGAACCTTGGACGGATTAAATACTAGATTGAGGGCATGAGGAGGTAGTTAACTAGTTAGTTAACTGTATAGTAAATAACTATTAGCTAAGATAAATGAGGCGGGGAATCTGGTCTCCTTATACACTTCCACCTGGCCCACACCATGCAGCATTGGACGGAGCACTGCATGTTTCTTTGTATAGGCCCGAGCACTTTCGATTGTACCGCCGAGGTCGCCGCCGAATTGCTGGCGAAGTCTGGCGAAGTGGGCTGAGGCCATGGCTTGTGGTCAGCAGAGATATCGTTTTAGATAGATACATTGCCGAATAGGGGCAACGATTCCCGGTTTACCGAAGCAGCCGAGTCCAGCGAGTTCAGCAGCCCAGAGTCCTCTCGGTCGCGGGGGCCGATGCCCAGTCGGAGATGGCAGCAGACGACAGCAGACGACAAATAGTTGAACACTACGCAAATGCTCCTGCATCCTGCTTGGTGGTCCTTCTTGGCTCACTGCGTGGATGGCGTTTGATTAGCTCCGGCTGATGTCATAGCGGACTCTCTTCCAAGTTAACTGAGGCAGACCATGATGATGCTTGTCCATGCATGACGCTTCGCTGGAGCTTGACCAGGCAAAGGTTGCTCGCCCGTGTCTCGGCCAATCGTGGGCTGGCCAATTGCCCCGGGCTGACTTTCGCTTGAAGATCAATCGCTGACAATCGACTCAATATTGAGCGAGTTCCATCTCCCCTCGAGACCCGCCACATTCACATCGACGTGAACAGAACAACGAAACAAGCAGCAGCAGCAGCATTTATCATCGGGAAGCGCATCTGAAGGTCTTCATACGCATCTCGTGCAGCTACGACTCGTGTTAATTTTTGCTGTTTTCTGCGTCATAATTATCATATCGTGTGCTACACAGTATCATGGCCTCCGCCACGGGGATTCCTGAGCAGCCTCCCGCAGCTGTCAACGGGGCCGATGAGTACGAACCTCTCCTGGGTAGGCCAGGAGATGTCAGTCAGAAGGAGGACCAGTCGCTGGTGACAAATCTGTTCACGGGTAAGCGATGCTGCGAAGCATATTTGCTACTGTAGCATCATCCCATATACCCATATCTACAGCATATGTTGATAAGCCATGCAGGCACTGCAACAATTGCCCAGGCGGGGATTTGGATCGTGAGTATTCTTAGTCCATGTCCAGATGATACAACATATTATATCACAACAAACCCTGACTAGGAAATACAATATCCAGCTCGCTGCCCTCGTCTGGAATGGCATCTTCTCCCACGAGCTCATCTTCTTCTCCCCGCATCCGGTAAGCAAAAGCACGACACTTACCTCCATTTCTTAGCCTCTACAGACTAGCATACAATGTACAAATATAGGTATATGTATGTATGTATGTATACAGCCTCTGAAAAATAACAAAACTCCAGCTCCTCAACTCTGCGGCCATCCTCCTAACCACCCAAGCCATCCTCATCCTCCAGCCAACCCACACCCCTTCCCAGAAGCGCAGCGGCACCCTGACCCACTTCGGGCTTCTCGCCCTCGCCAACCTCTGCTTCATATCCGCCCTTGTCATCATCGAGATAAACAAAGCCCCCCACCCAGAATACCGCTTCCACTCCGTGCACGGCATCATGGGCCTCGTCACCTACATATTGATCTTCCTGCAGGCCGCAGTAGGCGTCGCGCAGTATTTCTTCCCCGTCATCATCTTCGGCAGCGTAGACAATGGCAAGAAGATCTACAAGTATCACCGCGTCAGCGGATATGTGGTGTTCGTGCTGGAGTTGGCGACTGTCGCGGCCGCAACGCAGACGGATTATAATAAGAGCACGCTGCATATTCAGCTCTGGGCGGTGTTGGTGGCCTCTGTTCTGGTCCTGGGAGGCGTGGGCGCGAGGGTTAAGAGGCAGAAAATGAAGATCTTTTAGCTTGAAAGATTCATACTGGTGATTGATTGTGGCGAAGGGGGGAGGGGAGGGGGGAGGGATGTTATAGTATGGATGGGTGAGAACGAATGGGATATTAACCTTTGATTTATATTTTGACTTTTGGAATATTGCTTCCATTGATTGGATTATTCGATTTTTTATGAAATTGAAAACCGCTGCGAACCCGTGAGGACTTCAATGTGGCTCTTAAACGATGGCCATTTCTCGATATTTCATGATTGATCTGTGTGCCCTCCCCGTTGACTCCGGGGGGTCGCCGGCGCGTTTTCTTAGTATGCTCTCGGTATGTCCTTGGGGCTTTTCTAATTTCATTCTTATTACTAGGCAGTTAGCTGCATGTAATCCGGGAATTTTGTTTGATATGACATATTTTATTTTCATTTTTTTGCTGGAGATTTATCAGGTCGTCGTCGATGGAAAAACCGTTAAAAGTTGCATGAATTAAAACCCCTAAACCAAATCGTCTTTATGGCTACCGATGCAGGGAATCGAGGGGGAATAAAGAATAAAAAATCGAAAATCCCTTTCAAACGGGGAAAACACAACAGAATCCTATTTGGCCCCTGTAACGGTGCTGGCCGTTGCTGTTCTCATTGTTAAAAGGAAACCGGCTCCATCCAGCCGCGATTCCTCCTCAACGACCCAATGCTTCTGATCTACCACATCCCCGGCCTTTGCCGTCAATGTTCAATCGCTGCAATAACCTACCACTTTATAACATGTCTGCCGCCATTCCCACCCTCCCTAGCATATGACATTGAAAAGTGCCATCATTGCCCTTCTGTGCGTTTGCTTGATGCATGCCACCCAGCCCCACCAACCTCAAGAAATGCAGGGTTCGCATACAAGTTTATGGCGGCGGATCTTTCCTTACCCTTGGAGACGCTGATAACAGCAGCCGCAAGCAAAGCAAACGGCTGGTTGGGAGATCCCCCACCACGAGGTTATGATAAGCCACCAACCCCTTCCGCTCCCTCTGGTATGGCTGTCAGAGAGATATATATACCCAGCGGGGTAACCGTTGATAATCAGCCAGACGTTGATAATCAGCCAGAAGCCAAGCTTCCCTCATTCGAGCTTCAAATCCTCCGGCTTAGGTGGTATGGGACATGCTGGAATAATAATATTTTATAACTTCCACCATTGCTTCTGCCCTGTCCATCTGTTCTGTTCTGTTCTACCAAATCACGAGCAAGTCGTCCAGAGAAGTGTGTTGCCTCTGTTGATTTTTTTTTTCCAAAATTTTTCGTCTCCAATGATCCCAATTACACACCAAACGTATTTGGCTTCGAAAATTCAGCTTCCAGCCATGACAAACGACAGCGGGAGTCGTGCTAGCCGCCAATCCTTGGATGCTGACTTTGGGGTTGGCGAAAGCAACAAACCCCGAGGTGGGCCATGGACTGCTGAAGTAAAAAGCGGTGATTACGGACGATACGCAGCTTGTGACCCTGTACATTCCGGAAGGGCCTGTGATAAGCAGCAAGAGGCAATTGACGCCGAAAGGGGCCCGTTTAAGAGCAAGCAGCGCCAAGAATATTTACGCAAAACAGAGCGAGAGAGAGAGGGAAGCAAACCAGGTGAGAAAAGAAAGAGTATGAGCGATGATGGGTAGGCCACAGCTTGCCGATAGTGCATCAAATCCTGGAGCTTGGAATGCATTATCAGCCGCCGACTCTGGCCGTGATGCTACCTCGTTGTCTGACAAGGGGCCCGAGCATTGCAATATCAGTGGTAGTTACCTCGTCGCCCGGGGCGACTAGTCAAATGCACAGATTCTCATAGTGGTACCATATCCGAAAACGTCAGTACCAAGGAGCTCACCGTTAACCTGGAGAATCCCATCCGAGATGTCGTGAAACGTCCCGCATGAAAGTCGAGGTGATGCAAAGGTGAGAAGGCAAAGCCGGTGACTACGCTGAAGCTGATATGCGCCAGACAGATAGACAGGACACCTTTTCTGCAGCTCCGGACCCAGAGGGCAAAGACACAAGCGTCACCAGCGGTTCTTATTTTTCGGGCAGCGAAGGGCCGGGACCGCTCTATGCCGATAGGCGCGAGTCTGGGGGTATGACGCCAGCGTCAAAACGGACATTGCTCCCGCAACCTCAAAGACCAGGGGGGGATATGTTCGATGTGTCTCGAGGGGCTAGATCTACAATCAGCGCACGAGGGAACAAAGGCGACACCCGTCGTAGCAGGCGGGAACAAGGGCTATGTCGCCCGAGGCGGGAAAGCAGAAGACTCGCGGGCTATACTCCCGAATATGAAAGGCTTTGCGGATAAGAGATGTATATGGCGGCGACAGAGCCCTGCGAACAAAAAGGCGTGGGGACCATGTCATCCAGGGCTTTTCATCATAGCCTTGGCTAAGATGGGGATGAGGCAAGTTGCTTCAAAGGGGAAAAAGAATGAATACATGATATTGTTTACAAGGAGGACAGACATAACGATACCAATGGCTTTTTAATAGTACTAGTACCTAATTTGATTGACTCATTGCACGTTCTATGAATGGTGGCACCATTATTTCGTTTCGTGCGCTTAGAGTTGTCCCATTGTAGTAGCTTAGGTAAAGCAACGTATATATTCGTACTCTGGTCAGGCCGAAATGCTCTGCAAGTCGGTTGAGCAACAGCGACGCGCGAGTCCTAGCACCCACCAAACCCCCGTTTGAAGGCGAAGAAGGACCAGAAGCCTCAATGTTTACCCATGGCTGGGGATAAAGAGCCTGGAACGTGGTTATAGCGCGGCTATTAGCGCCCGAGGACCTTGCTTGTTCGGTTGGTCCCGCGGCCCCACCGCAGGCGCTTAAACCGGCCAACCGCAACACGGCTGGCAAAACCTTCCATCTTCCATATCTTCTTCAACAACATCCACCTCGCTCTTCGCACCATGCCACCACCTCAAATGGCTGTGCTGAGGAATCCCTGTGTATATCTCAGCTGCAGGCTCCATACCCGACGAACTCTCACCACCCCATCACTACTCCGGCGTTCCTTCTCTAGCTCCTGTCGCAACTTGTCATCCGCAGGAGCGAACAACTCATCCCGCCCACCTACAGCACCAAAACCTACACCTGACATCAAGCACATCCGCGAAAATGCCTCTCTCTACTCCGAAAACTGCATCGCCCGCAACTACCATGACCTGTCCCGATACCCGTACGAGATCCAACGCCTCTCCACTGAGTGCCGCGAGCTTCAAGACACCCTGCGGGAACCGCAACGCAAGATAAAACAGATAGAGTCCGCCATTGCACAGCTCATGGCCAATTCCTCAGACCCACACAATGCAGATCCAAGAGTACAACAGAATCAAGAAACAAAAGCGAAAGAAGAACTTTCCGCCCTCCGACTTTCCGCACAACATCTAAAGGACAAATCCCACCACCTAACAACAACCCGCGCATCCCACACCAAAGAAATTGAACGTCTCGCCCTCTCCCTCCCAAACCTTACCAGCACCGAAACACCACCAGGCGCCGAACCTCGCATCGTAAACTACATAAACTATGACCCGGACAAACCCGCAAACTTACCAACCCACACCACCTCCCATGTCACAATCGGCACAACCCTCAATCTCCTAAACTTCACCAGCGCCTCCCTTACCAGCGGCTGGGGCTGGTACTATTTAACCAACGAAGCTGCCTTGCTCGAACAAGCCCTAATCCAGTTCGCGCTCAGCGTCGCCATTCGGCGGGGTTGGCAAGCGGTCTCCCCACCCTCCCTCGTCTACTCGCACATCGCCCATGCATGTGGCTTCCAACCACGCGATGCGCATAACGAACAGCAAATATATCATATTGAGCAGAGTGAGAGAGATGTAGCGCGTGGCAGGCCCGCGCGGGTGTCTAGCGGGCACAGCGGGAGATTCCGCTTGCGGCGAATATTTGCGGGGCAGGGAGATGGGGGGGAAGGGGGAAGGGGGAACCAGTTACCCCGTGAGGATGGTGGGGGGTCAAGCCGGGTGTTATAAGAGCCGAGGGAAGGCGCGCGAGGGGCGGGATTACGCGAGGGTTGTATCGTGTTCATGAAGTTTACGAAAGGTGGAGTTATTTGGGTGGCGATGCCGGATCCTGCTGGGTGCTGGTGCTGGTGGAACCGGTACCGACACTTTCCGCCGCCAAACACCGGCTGGGACGGTAACAGCGACAACCCTCTTCGACGAAATCCTCGCGCTGCAGACCGAATCCTCACCGCGCTCAACCTGCCCTGTCGCGTCCTGGAGATGCCCGCGCATGATCTCGGAGCCAGCGCCGCTCGCAAGCGTGATATAGAAGTCCTGTTTCCTTCCAGGATGGCGTCGCCTTCCCCCCACGATGGACTTAGCACCAGCAATGCCACCATAGCTAAGGACATCAGCGTGGAATCGGGCTGGGGTGAGGTTACCTCCGCCTCCAACTGCACAGATTACCAAACGAGACGGCTAGGGACGAGGCTTAAATCTGATATGGCTGGCGGTGCCGGAAAATTCCCGCATACAGTGAATGGAACAGCAATGGCTGTCCCGAGGATTATTGCGGCGTTGTTGGAGCACGGATGGGATGAGAACAGGGGGGTTGTGGTGTTGCCGGACGTTTTGAGGGGGTGGATGGGGGGTAAAGGGGTTATTGGGGGGGAAGGATGATAGTTAATTGGAGGTTGGAGTTATTCGGAAGTGACAGGTGAGGAGATTTTGGATTTTTGAATTTGTACGATATGCGGAAGTTACATTGAATGGTGGACAGCTGTTTTTTTTTTTTTTTTTTTCCGTTCTGATACATGTCATAGAATTGGCCGTGCTACGTATGTATATATATAATAACATTGGGAAGTGTACAAAAATCATGATACTCTCAAAAATGTACGACAGAATTATAGAAAAGATGCATTTCGTCTTCTCCCCTAGCCCCTAGCGAACTTGGGGATGGAACTACAGTACAGGGCATGAGGAGGAGTTAGCATAAATACAACACATAACCACGTTGATATTTTACATTCCACCGCGCTCCTCCCTGTATTTCCGTTGGCGCCTTCCAATACACCTAGATCCATCTATATACACATCCATTAATGCTGCGTAACTGATCAACTGCCTAATTAACTGCCCAGGTATATAAATATATAAATATATATATATATATATACCGAGGTATTTCAAGTTCACTATCAATCTCCCTGCTGTATTGTGAAGTCATCATGTGCATATATAAAGCGAAAGTGCAAAAAACGAAAAGAAGAGAAGAAATGGTCATTTACGCCGCGTTTCAGTCATCAAGAAGGAAAAGATGAAAGGGAAATGATAAAAGGTAGGAAGTTGTATTTGCAGAGGGATGAGAAGAGAAGGGAAAACAAGGGGGGGAATATATCATATAATTCGTTTCGTGGGCAGGTTGGGGGGGGGGTGAAAACACATGCAATTAGAAATGACACAAAAGAATAACAAATGGGAGAGGAAAATGAAGAGAAAAAAAAAAGTTGAGACTCAATCTCTGTCCAAGAGAGAAATGATGCAGAAATAAGAAGGGAAACAAAAGTTGAGGGTAATATCGTCCACATTAGGGATAGTAAAGAAACCTTTAAAAGTTAAAAGAATAATAGGTTAGAATAAGAGACAAGGAGAAAAATGTAATAAACGTGCATCATTATGCATAGAAATATACACCCTCACCCTCACGCTCACTCCCACGCTCACTCTCACCTTACTCCACCTCACTTCAACCCAACTCAGCCCTTCCCAACAGGGATTCTGCCAAAGCAGAGCAATACACATCACTCAGTCCCACGGATAGTCCCCCTCCTCAACTCTTGTACATGTCAGATACGGCAGCAACACGCCTCCTCCAGCATCGTCTGTTCCGGCACTCAAGCCACCGCCACCGCCGTTGCCGCTCAAACTCCTCAAGTCCAACTCCAGAAAATTCCGCATGAGAGGCTTCACAATTTCCCTCGCCAACCGCTTAATCTCGTCCATCTTGCGCTCGAACCTCTTCAGATTCTCGCGCGAGTAAAGAGAGTCATGCGAGTGTGTATGTGACTGCTTGAGAAATCTCTTTAATTCGTCGTGCGGGAGGTAGGCTTGGTTTGAAGGGGAGCCGATGAGGCGGTATGTACGGCCGGGAGAGTAAGGGGAAGGGTTTGAGATTTGGTTATAGTGTTTATTATTAGCAGCGCCCGCGCTGGCCATGGTCATGGTGGTGGTGGTGGTTGTAGTTGTCGGTGTAGAATTGCTGTTATTATTGGAACTCGACGCTGTGATGGTGGTAGTATTGCCGTAGCCATTGTTCGTCGCGACAGAACCATTATTATTATGATAGTTGCTACTCCCTCCACCACCACCACCACCATCTCCTCCTCCCCGGGATTGCGACTGCGACGGCAATGTCTTCAAAATCCCAGCCGGAGGCGGCGTTGTATTCTCCACTAGCCACTGCCGAAAAAGTGATACCGCAAGCCAATCCAGATATGCATTGGAAGGGCTAACCCGCTCTCCTCTGGACGTCGTCAGCGACAATCGGAACAACTTCCCCTCAACGCGCGCTTTCAACTCTTCCATGTCCTCAACCTTATCCTCGATGAGATCTAGCACGGGATCGGGTAGGGGTGAGTATGACCCCTGGCCCAAATGCGGTAGCGCAGCTGGCCATTGGCCCACAACGTGGATTAGGGCCTCTGCGAATATTACGTGGCTTCGTGCCAGGTAACCTAGTCGTAGGTAGCTGGGGGGGTACTTTGCGATTTGTTTGTAGAGACGGGATGAGAAGCGCAGGAGGTGATGGTCGACACGGGGTCCGACAACAGGGAGCGCGTCATACATGTCTGCGAGGTTTAGAAGAGATTTACATTCTGAGTAGGCGGAGGCGATGTTTATGGCGTTGAGTTGTGGGGGGTAGTTATAGAAAATGCGGAAGAGGTTGTCATAGTCTCGGATGGTTGGGTCAAGGGGGCCGTCTTCGATGGCAGGTTTTGTTGCCGCAGTTGATGTGGCAGTGCTTGGAAGATGGAGAGCGGATTGGATTCCGGTGAGGCTTGTGATGGAGCGGAAGAAGCCCTGTTGGGGCGGGGGAGGTTTCGTACGGGCGGGTGGGGGCTTGGGTGGGCGATAGCTTCCGCCGAATATCGAGTTGTTTTGGGATGCGGGCTGCGGAGACATCAGTATACACAGGCGTGCGTATTCGCATGTATTTTCCACATGAACGAAATTATCATCTCACCTTCTGCACAAGAATCGGCATCTCATCTTCCTCCCTATTGACCCAATCCAATTCATACCTCCACCGAGTCTTTGTAGGAGCCGACGATGCACGACGGTGATGCGCAACACGTTCTTCCCCGGCCCCTGCCCCGGCCGCATCCTCATCAGTAATAATCGCTAGCCCGTGTTCCGTAGTAGAATTCCCATTCTCAATCCCATTCGTAATAGCAGCAGTATTAGCAGCATTTTCAACCCCCTCCAACATCTGCGCCTCCCTCAACGCCTGGGACCGCGACCACTCTTCACTCGTGCCTGCATCAAAAAATCCCGAACAGCGTGCCAGAATCAGCCTATGAAGTAAATAACGCTTTTCTTGAGTTGACGCACGGATGACGATCTCGACATCTCCCGTTGCGGCGAAGATGGGGAATTGGTTGAGAGGTTGGTGAGTGGAACCTCCATGGTGTGAGCGACCGGAGCGGGAATGATTGTGGTGGGAGTAAGAATGGCTATGGTGACGGCGCTGGGAGTGCGAGACGCGTGAGGAGGAGGCGACGGAGGCGGGAGCGGGGACTGTAGCTACGACACGGGTGGGAACGTCTGGGTGAGATACCATGTCTATGGTTGCAGGTGATGTTGGGGAGGCTGATGATGCTGTTGTTCTTGTTATTGTTCGAGGCTCGGGGGCGTTGGAGGAGACTCGATTTATTGAAGGCCGGGAGTGATGGAGCATCGCATCGAGAGAACGCACATGACATATATGTTTTTGTGCGTACAAGGGAGAATAGATAAAAATGTCATCTGCTCCTAGGAGACAAAAGAGAGCCAAGATAGAGGGATCCTCGACCTGGAGGCACGAAGAGAGATGTCATAGACAGCCACGAAGGCGATGGCAGGCTGGACGATGCGATATCGCCCAGTAGCAGCAGAATCCCGTTCCTCGCGTGTTCAAATGCTTCTCAGGCGAGTTCACTCCTCAACACAACCAGGAGATTCTCACGAAACAGTGGGATTGGACAGAGAGCAAACGCGAGATGGACCCAGCAACAGTGGTTTTAGTGCAGCTTTTCGCGGTTTTAGTTCCAGACCAGCGTCTCGCCTCCGCATCCCGCTTTGGTTGATAGTGGATAACGAGCAGCTAATCTTACGATTAGCCACGCTAGGGCCCAGGGACGAGTGTTGCTCCTCGAGAACTACACAGACAAGGGGAAGTCCACAGACAAACGAGAGCCAGGCATCGCTCCACTGCTCTCAAAAGAACATCGCAGAGAAATAGCCATAGCACGAGGACGAAGAAGAGCTCAAACCGCAAACCTGCTCAGCCTCCGTCCTCCATCTCCAGCTGTCCATACATGAAGAATAAACCTCCCAGATACCGCACTAGACCAGCTGGGTGGCGATGCTCTTCAGCCACCAGGACACCGTCTGCTTGCCCTATCGCTGCGCGGGAAACGCTCTTGACGGAAATGACAGCAATGACAGGCGGGCATGAGCTGGGATGTTTTGCCTCTTCTCCTTCGCATGTGAGACAAGCCTGTTCTAAAGACAGAATATCTTGCAGACGAACCCAGGCAGACGGAGACGGGGACCCCGGCTTGCTGCATCTTGGAACAAACCAGCAATGACCTCACTCGCATGAAACTACGGGGTTCGCAGGAAGTTGAAACATCCCATGGTTAAGTTTCAACTTTTAGCAAGCAAATTCTGATATGTAACTATGTTTACTGAGAATACTATTATGAATCATCGCGGCAACTACATGCAAAGGCCTCGAATTTATACAAACTGTATCTAGCATAATAACTTTTTACATCCAAAGGAAAATATGGTCATCCATGTTAGCAACATAATAAATAGCCTACCAGCTGTAAAAGTAGATGCAATTCAGGGAAAATGAAAGTCTTTCGTGTTGCTTTTTCTCTTATACATCCGATCCGCAGGGAAGAGATGTAGAAGACGTATAGAAAGGGATACATTATCAAATCAGGTATTTTTATCAAACGAAAAACAAATTAAGATAGAGAAAGAGGAAAAATAGAATAAATGATGATGCGGGGAGCGAAACCCTAATTACCAAGAGTCGAAAATGAAAAATAGAGAATCCAGCGGGGTAATGTCAGAAGCAAACTTTCCCTTCGGAAATATTCCCTAGATCTAAAAAAATAAATAAAGTATATAGCGAAAAATATAGCGACATCAGATATAAGATGAACTTGTACTGTATGGGTGTATCATGGGAATTGAGAAAAAAGTTGAAGCAGAGAAGTAGAACAGAAAAATCAAACACGTAACGTAACTAACAAGGAGCTAAAAGGCGCCTACAACCATTTTCCAAGATAACAATGTCTGCGCATAACATACAAACACGCGCGCATCAGAGAAGTTTGAAAGGAAAGATGGGGGCCAAAGGAAGGGAATAAAAGGAAAAGCAATGACTGGCAATAAAAGAGGCGCAGAGAAATAATATATATGCTGTGGTACCCACAACCCACATCATCAAAGCCTCACTTGGGAAAAATGAATGTGATATATTTCCAGCCAAAAATGCAAAGTAGATAAGAAGCAATAAAAATAAAGGCGGGGAAAATGGGGGAAGAAGGAAACGGGTTGCTGGATAAACTTAACAACGCTTCACTAAAACGCTTCGCCAAACATGAAAATAACCAAGACGGAATTTGGCGAACAGCGGGTAAAGAGAATTCATAAATCATCGCTAGAACGGTGTGAGAAGAAAAATAAAATGATTGATCATGAATTAAAATAGTAGGAAGGAGAAAAATCAGAAGGAAAAATAGCTCAACCAGATTTGGTTGAGACAAGACAAATATGAGAAGATGAGAAGATAAGAGAAAGCAGAGAAGAGTATATAAACGGTGTGAGTGTGGGCTGTATACGCTGTGCAATGCCTGAAAGTATGGATGGTGAGGAAATAAAGAAGACATGGCGGAAAAGGAACAAAAACAGAACCACGCAGAAGAGGACGTGAGACTTCAAACCTGTTCAATATGCAAATATAGTGAAGCTTTTGTGTTATCGGGAAACGCCAAATGGACAACCTGAAAACCCAGCCAACCCGTTTTGCACTTGGTGGGTTGGATGTGGAGTTTCTGTAGTTCGTTCAAATGCAAGGCTGAATAGAAAAATAGTGTCAGAAGACAGCGGACAATCCGTTCTTCGAATGGCGTCGGCTGAATCGCTTTTTTCCCTTCACAGATTCCGAATCGCCTGTGGCATGATGTTTGACAAGCATGGCTCTTCCACTTGCTTGGGACGCATTGACGTTGGCGGAGAAATCATCGGAATGGTCAATAGTGTTGGCATGGCTAGAAACGCCAGACGATAGATCCCTCAAGGCATCATCGCCGTAAGGACTATTCGACGTTTGGAATTGGGCCAGCTCTTTGGCACGATCTAGTATATCGATCCATTCTTGTGTAGAGAGAGCAGATGCTGCAAGATCCGATGACAATGGCCTTGCATCTTCAAAAACGTAGTGTTTCTCGCGCTGTAGAAATCGGGATACTTAAATCAACAAACGATCAAACTATAATTAACTAGTGAATGGTTCTTACCGTATCTACTACCCACGATGAATAACCTTTCGCATCGGTGGTGCTTCGATATTGTGCGCCGGGGGCTAGGAGAGAGATATCCATTTTTGCTTTCTTCTCTCCTCCACCAGCAGGCACAATAATGACACGACCAGCAGAGGTAACCATAACTAACCGCTGACGCTTCTTGGTCGTGTTTCCTCCAAAAAATCGCGAAAATTTCTTGGGAGCATCACCATCGCCATGCCCACCTTTTGTGTGCCCATTGTGAGGAGCGGGGGAAGAAAGAACAGTTAAATTGCCCATTTTCAATATACGCTCGTTGGTTCGAGTCAAGACAGGAGACCACTCAATATCAAGTTGGGAAGGAGGTGGGAGATCGGTAACCAGGCGTGGATACGGCCTTGCGCTCCCTGAGTTGCCTGAAGATCCAAAACCCTTTGTGATGTTTGGGGGGAAACTGTCGTCCTTACTGGAACCGTTGAGTTTAATTGGCTCTGGTGGTGGCGGAACATATGGCTTTAAACGCGGTGCTTTTTGTTTCCAAAGACCACGACCCCAAACGATGCCATCGAAAAATTCATGGTTTTTAATGTGTTCCATTTGCAAGCGCCTCGACGGATCAAGAACAAGTAACCGTTCCACCAAATCTCGCGCAACTGATGGAAATCCGGGAGGGAATTCATACTCAAGGCCAACAATTTTTTGAAACGTTTGATATTCATTCGCAGCTTTGAACGGAGGTCGTCCAGCTATTAATTGGTAGATGATACATCCAAAAGCCCACAAATCACTTGCCTTGTAGGCACTCTTGTCTGTGAGAAGCTCCGGACTGACATACTCAGCAGTTCCCACAAAAGAGTTGGCCCGATCCCGATCAGCACCGTCAGAGTCCATCTGTGGGATACCACTCGAATTCTCTTCCTGTCGTTTTGGACGATCCAGTATTTTAGCTGTGCCAAAGTCAGTGATTTTCACGTGCATCTGGCTGTCAAGTAGCACGTTTTCTGGTTTTAGATCTCGATGAATAACTCCGCGCCTGTGCATGTAGTCAATTGTATCAAGAATCTGCGCCCCGTAGAATCTAGTGCATTCTTCGTCAAACGATGACATCCGCTTCAACACACCTAATAGCTCTCCTCCACTCGCAAGGTCGAGGACAAAATAAAGGGATCGCTCATCCTGGAATGTATAGTATAATCGAACAACACCAGGATGATCGGTCAATCTGTTTAATGTATCCTTCTCGATGTTAACATACTTCACTTTCTTTTCCTTAATAATATGCCGTTTGTCGAGTATCTTTATGGCGTATTCTTTCAAGGTTTGGCGGTCCGTAGCCGCAACGACTGTACTGTATGATCCCTCACCGAGTGTGCGGCCAAAGGAGAAATCTCTAACGCCTTTCTTCACGAATCTCGAAACGGGTTTGCCATTTGCGTCAATTTCTTGTCGTACACCCACGGCTGCCCCACGCTCCTGCCATTCTTCACTACTTGAAAGCCCGACACCCTCGAGGCCGTACGGAGAGCCAGAGAGCGGGGAAGTGCCGTTATGATGTGTTACTCGAGAGCTCCGCCTCGGTGGCAGTGGGGAGCTGCCGCTGTGAAACTGCGTCTGGATGTATGATCTCTCAGAATGGCTACTGTCTCGCACTGGGACTCCGGCTTGAAGAGCTGCGGATCCACCACGAGAATCCGATCGTGATTGACTGTCGGACGTAGAAGAAGCGGATGACTCCGTACGAAGTCGATATCCCTCCTTAGGAGCAAGATTTGAAGACGACCCATTGGTCAGAGGCTGTGTATGGTATGTTGACGGTGGACGCCCCGCACTTTGGGGGGTGGAGGGGCTTGGGGTCTGAGATGTTGGAGTAGCATACGTGGAATATTGCTGCTGCTGGGTGGGTAAAGGGTTCTGATATCCATATCCCACGGACAATCTGTTGCTCTGGGTCTTGGGGAAAGAGTCTTGGGGTTTGGAGGACGAATGGGTGTTTATCTCAGGATGGGACGGAATTTGTTCCTCGACTCTGGTGGGCGATTGGGATCGGGGAGGATGAGTGGATGTACCAGCAGAACTTGGAGTCTTGTCTATCGACTTGACGGAGGAGTCGTCCGGATTCGCAATCCGCAGGCCCCCAAAGGATTGCGACAGGCTTAAATCCCCATCCATGGCAAGGTGGGGGCTGGCTAGGTAGAGTTGCGTGCAGGATAGAGAAAGGTGCGGAAACGAGTGGGTGGGAGCGCTGTGGCAGCCAAGTGAAACAGGAGGGCAGGCAACCACCGGGAGGAGAGTGGCAGTAGAGGGAGACGTGAGATAATTAACCGGACGAGTGGTCTCACAGAATAGAGACTACGCCGGTTGTTGGAACGACCGGTAAGGCATGGCAGATGCACGTCGCAGCCAGAGAAGGACAATCCTGGGCGCAGTCCCGCAGCAAACCAGGGGGAATCAGAGGGTCGAGAGAAGTCAGATTCCCAAAGATGGCGATTTCGCAGAGCGCAAAGACAAAGAGCGAGAGAATTGAAACGGGAAACGAGGTAAGATGAGGTTGAAGTTGAGCTGAGAGACTGGCAAGGGTGGGATTGGGGTGTGAGGTTCGAGTGAGATATTGGAGGCTCGGCGATGGTTGAGGAAGGGCAATATTCGCGGTGAAATGGTATTCGATGTGACAGTATCGTATAATACAATACCACTACCAGCCTTTGGGTTTTGCGATAAAGTCATTGAAGCCAACATAGCCATGAAGGTTGTGTAATTTACATACCGTATTATAACCGTTCTGTTTTACGGCCCAAGTCAACCCAACCAAGGAGTCTTGCGCTGGCCACCAACACAGCCCATGGCGATAGAACTGAGATAAAAAAACCACGTACCCTTGATGCAACAAATGGGATGTCTGCTAGTATGCAATTGCATACACTAGATATTGACTAATAGCACCCCGATTCTGTTCAAGTTTGTCTCAGACCTGCATACAGCGAAGGATCTAACCTCAATCGTGCAGTATAACGCTTGCGCTGGATGCGGTGTCTTCTCGGACCCATTCTGCAACAAAGCGAATCAAGTGGATAATGCGGTTGAATCTTCCTAGGCTTGGATATCTATCACTCAAGATCACCAAGGGGTTCTCGCCCGTGGCCTATTTCTTCGCCATGCTTGTTTGCACGCTTGTATAGAACTTCAGCCTTATGGAACGTCCAGTGCTCTTGCACAATATAACGGCTATCTGATATGGCGGGAAGTAGCCATGACCTCTGCATGGTCTTTGTTGATATGGCTTTCTTTGCATTGTTTCTTTTACACCTTGCTTGGCCAGGGTGTTCTTTCGACTCATCACTCTCTGTCGCTTTTGAGCTTCTAGTTACATCCTTGTGTTGGATTATAACAGTCTCATGCAAGGCTCATAGCCATGTTTCGACTTCGACCAACTCCCATTATTCTCTCGGATGACGAGATCTATTCATGTGTACGGAGGATTCTGATTGCTCGAATTCTCGAAAAAGGTGGAGATCCGCATGTATCGCCACTTCAACGGCGTCAGTTCTCATCAGAGGCGCCCTCCACGGATTCTCCGTATATGGCCCCTGACTCCAGTAGCTTCGAGGAGTTTACAGATTGTAGCCCTGATGATTGTGACAGTTCTCCCGCCCTCAATAATGGGAAACGCAAATGTGAAACCTCATCCGACGATCCACAAACAGAACAGCCTCAGCTCTCTCCGGCTCCTCAAGCGCTTCCATCCTCCAGCGCTGATGTTCAATTGGCCGAGCAATTAGACACAATAACATTGAGCTTCACATCATTTCTTTCACCCTCCACGTGGCTTGGTCCATTTACTTCGTACCCTAGGTCGGTTGGTGGAAACATGCGCCTGGAGTGGGGAGATGACATTTCAACAGGTCTCAACTACCAAATGAAATCATTCGCGCTCCCAGTACCGACGGACTTGGCTCTTTTGCAATCTGATGGACTTCATTCAAAAGTTTTTCCATATTCAGGAGGATCGAGCAAGATACATTCGGTTCTAGGATGTATTAATCCAAATCCAATACCTCCAGGTTCCACACGCTGCAGCTCTCCATGCTGCCAATCCATACCATCTACGCCTCCACTTTCAGATTCACAGGGTACAGATTCAGAATGTGACACTGAGGATGGCTTTTTCCTATCCACCCCTAACAGCAGCCGAAATATTACAAGCAGACCCAACGGAAACAATCTATATCCTTATGGCTTTGGGCATTCTCCGGCCACCGAAGATGCTATTCGGTGCAATGACATCAATCGAACTACTGCTAGGAGGTCTTTGAACAAAAATGCTTTTCATAATCAGCGGAATCGCCCGGCAATGATAAATAGCAGCTACACTTCTGCGACATCTTCACTCTCTTTCTCCAGATTAGATTCAATATCTCTCAATGGTATGTACGCGCCATGGTTTCCGAGTATAAATACCTGCATTTGCCCATAGCAGTCCTCGAAGGTCCATTTTTTACACAGCTTTGCACACTTCATGAATTCCGTAATCGTTCTCCTTTTAATTGAATTTCATATTTTCCAGCGTCATCAAGTGCTTACTTATCATTATCCATTTGGCACACACACATTTAGCTACTTCATTCGATATGCGCTGCTCTTGTGAGAAGGATATGTTGGCTCAAATGTACCAGCAGTCCTTTCTATCACCCCCGGCCTCCCAGCATGGATCGGCGAACCAAAACCAATATCCTTCGGTCCCGGCCGGTAGTAGGGAGGGTGCTGACACGATGCCAACCTCCAGTAACTTGGGTCAAGTCTATCCAATAACATCAGCGAACACCGTAGTTCCCACAGGCGAAATCCCTCTTATTGCACCACAAGCTATTGCAAATCAAATCCCTTATATCGAGAGAGTTCCCCAGGAAGCCGCCGGGCTACCGCAAGTGACGCGAACCGCTATTTTCTGTACATCACCATGGCTAAGCCAGCAGCCGAATGTTCCCATATACGCAGTATCAACTGCCGCAAACCAGCTGCAGGATACGATGCCACAGCGACATGCAGCCATAAATTACTATCACGTTCCTCTTAGCAGTATCTTTGGGAACCCTGTAACCCCAAGCGCGGTCAGTTTGTGTTTTATTGCCGTTTAAACCGTTATGCAAATTTATTTGATATATTCACTATTGAGCCTGATTAACTAAATAATCTGGACTTACTAGGCTCTAAGCCCGGCCGTAGTCCCAACCTACCGTTTGAATCAGCAACACGAACAACAATATATTGTTCCAGCTACGAGGCTAGCTTCAGCGTATACGGCTGGGCATGGCTATGTATTCCAGCAGCGACGTCATCAAGCAGTACATAATAACACGAACAATCAGGCCATGGCACCTATCCACTTGCCTGCGGGAATGGCTGAGATACCTCGGGGCACGACCTGGCAAATTCAGCAGCCCAGCTCTACTGCCGGACCTGCCATTCATTCTGGCAGGGCAACCACGGCATATGGTCATCACAGCGATGGTAATAATGAAGGAGAGGTTAAGGCTCCATAGCCGGATTCGAGGACATCAGTTTACACTTTGCAATGGGAGTGTTCTCCACATTGCGTGGTTATTTTTTTAGGACGGTGAGGTGAAATAAGTATGTATGGTCAATGATGAAGAGAGGGGGGGAGGGAGTTGGAGTTGTGCCGGAGTAGTTTTGAAATTCTCCCATAAATTCTTCTCCTTGTTCAATTCCTTCACCCCCTCCCCTCCCCTCTTGTTATTTCTACAGATTGCGCATGATGTTTTATTTCCCCCACTCTAAGTTCTCTGTTCAGTTCCATATTTTCTATTCACTGCAGCATTTTATCTATTGCCAGGTTAATTAACAAACAGCACCGCCTCGCACCCATGTGTGTTTCTATAGTTTTTTTTCCACAGTTTTCTGTATTTACATTGTGTTCGGCATGCTTTGTTTGTTTTTGTTTCTTTCTCCTAGGCCCGAGTCTTAACATTATGGCTATGATTGTTTATTTCCTTTCTTTCTTTCCTTCTTTCTTCCCCCTCATTCTGTTCCCTCTCTCATGCTGCTTGAGTGAATAAATTACAATCACTTCTGTTCTGTTCCTCCAAGTTGAACATCTGTATTAGCTAGCTGATTAAAATGATATATGAAATATGGATGTGAATGCGTATTCAAATCAACCGAGCGGATGAAACAACCCCCCCCTTCCTTTTCTGCTTCAGGAGATGGATGGAATATGATATATATGAACTGACTGTACTTGACATGCACACTAAAACTGCGGAGCCAGAGAGCGCCCATATGTATATATATATATATATATATATATATATATGTGTGTGTGTGTGTGTGTATGTATGTATTTCTATACTATAAATTTGTAAAGGATTTGTTTTTTTTAAAAAATGGTTCTTTCTCTGCTGCGCCCTTCCCTTGCTTTCGACTTTTAAAACGACCCCAACCCCAACCCACAACCCCCAAACCCCTTCTTCGCCCCCCCATGATTCGGTATATTGCTAATTTATTTAATATAAACCCCGCTCTAAAGACGTCATATATTGTTGATATTTTTTTCTCTCTCTCTTTCGAACAAGAAAAAAGGAAGGGAAGGGGGAAGGGCGGGGGGAAGAAGAAGAAGGAGAAGGAGAAGAAGAAGAAAAGTTTAATTCATCTCCCTCTTCTTCGCCAACAACTGCGCCCCATCCACAAGCCTCCGCTCCCCATTCTGCCGCCCATTGACGAAGTCCGGATAATTCAACGTCAGCTCCACGGCGCCGTTGACGATATTGTCCACGGCCTCCACGCCAAGCATGAACGAGTGGTCCTGGTTGCCCACCTCGTAGCGCCAGCTGCCGAAGCGGCCGCGCGACCAGATGTCCTGCGCCTGCAGGCGCGGGAGGAGCTGGGTGAGGACGCCCTCGCGCTCGAGGGACGGGGTCGGGTAGCCGTGGTCGAAGCGGCGGTGGTAGGTCGAGACGATCTCGTCGGTGGGCTGGAGCATCTCGGTGTTGACGAGGCCCTGGATGGAGTCTGCGAGGAGGGTGGCGGTGTTGACGGGTTTGAGGGACGATTCGGAGACTTCGAGCATGATGGACCAGTAGGGACCTGGCTGCGGGGTTTGGTTGTGGGGTTTGGAGCCGTTGGCAAGTTGCTGGGTGGGGAGTCGTTTGTCGGCGGCTGGTTGGTTGTTGGGGGAGTAGTTGGAGAAGATTGTGGCCCGGTAGAAGGGGCAGTTGTCTTCAGGGAAGTAGAGCTGGGGTTTGTGGGTTAGAGCAGAGGTGTATATAGGGGAGGGGGGGTGGTATATGGGAAGGGACAAAGAGGGTAAAAGTGAGAGAGTGACATACCCAGCACTTATCGCCGATTCTCTCTGGGCGTTTACCACGGATGCCAACACCAATGACATGGGTGGAAGAGTAGAACAGGCCCATGCTCAGGTCGACCAACTCTTTATCTCCCATCTGCTCGACAAGCGTGTCTACTTGCATGGTAGAGACGAGCTTCTGGTAGCCGACAGTGGTGCCATCGGCAAGCACGACGGTCTTACTGGCAGCATTAACCTTGGTGACCTTGCCATGCTCGCCGAATCGAGTGTTTTCCTTGGGCAGGGTGTTTGCGACTGCAATCCATATGCCGCCGGTGCCACCGCGGGCGGGGAAGCGGAATGTCGCGTTGGGACCCCAGTTGCCGGCGGTCTTTTGCAGGACGACGTTTCTGGTCACAGCCTTGAGATTTGGCGCCGCGACACGCTCGCCAAGCCAGGCGCATTGCATCTGATAGCGGTTAGCGGGACGCAAATGCTCTTCTTTTTGTTAAAACCTCGATACAAGGAAGGTGCGGCGAGTTCCACACACCTTAGTCGTCGGCACAGCCCAGACCTTGAAGTTATAAGGGCGCATGAACAAATCGGCAATGCCACTCCCCATCATGCGGAGAATCCACTCATCGAAGTCCTTGGGCTTTGTGTTGGCCACGCGGGCTTCCAGGGCGGCATCGATCATGCCATCCAAGCATTTGACCTGGTCCTCCTTGGGCAGCATGGAGATGTTGTTCTGGAAAGGGTAGGGCACCCAGAGGCCCTTGCAGCGGACATAGGAAATGCGCTGGTGGGTGTACCAGTCGTCGTCCTTGGGCAGGGCCTCATCGATGCAATCGTCGAAGTATTTGTAGTGGGAGAAGATTACATGACCGCCAACATCGTATAACTATTTTGGGGGGGAGGTTGAGGCTAGTTAGTATAGCTAATCACTCTTTAAGCAAGGAAAGCTAATCAATTGATGGAAAAAAATAAAGAAAGCAAGGGAAAAGAAGTGTATAACTCACGAATCCCTCGGGGGTAATATCTGTAGAGGCCAGGCCGCCAGGGGTCTCGTTGGCGTCCACGATCATCCAAGATGGTCCATCCTGTTCAAGGACACAATTAACTTAGTCAGCAAGCGAAATTGAACGGTCTCTCTCTCTCACTCTCTCTCTATATATATACATATCTCCTCGTCCAGTGAGGATATGTGAATTGGGAGCCACTCGTACAATCTGATTGAGGCGCTTCGCAGCACCTAGGCCAGTGGGACCAGCCCCGATGACCAAGACATCGACCGAGCTATATATACAGATGGCATCCAGTTAGTGATAATTGAAGCAGAAGAAAAAGAGAAGAAAGGAAGAAAAAAAGAAAGAACAGAGCTAAAAGAGAGCAATTGCGCACATATCTGGGTGGGACATTCTGCCTTGCAAAATATCCTGGAAGCTGGGCACACGCTGCAGAGTCTTGCGGGCGAGATTGAGCATGAAAGGGGAATGCCAAAAACGGGGGCGGGTATCAAGGACGTGGTTATACTACGGACCGTCGCTTCGAGAATGTTGTTCGTGAATGCTGAGCAGTGAGGGTAGTGATTGGAGGGGTTGAAGGCGCTAGAGGGGAAGATGGGCGTATCTTTGTAGTATATCTTCCTTCTCCTGAGGAACAACACGAAGCCGGCCAATGAGGGCAGCGAGGTATTAGCGACTGAAGGAGGAAAGGAGAGAGACGAAGAAGCAGCAGAGCGAGCAGAGATTTGGGGAGGAGGGAAGGGAGATTCGAGAATAGCTGCTGCGGCGTGGACTTGTGGATTGCGCTGGCGCCAGCTAGAGCGAGCTGGTTAGCATGCTTGTGGTGTGTTAGCGCGCAGGGAAGACAGTAAAGTAGTCAAGTAACTGGAGAATCTATCAATCACGCAGGGTTGAAAGGTGCAAAAGATCTGGCGGTGGAGAGAACTTTAAACGAGGGAGAGTGTCCTCGCTGCGTATTCTTCTTCTTGATATCAACCCACAGTTACATGTACATGTATATGTACTGTACATACATATTTACCAGATTCTGACTTTTAAGGAAGAGCTCGACTCAAAAATCCCGCCGTGGAAACCATCTCAACTTCCCAACAAACCGATACTAGTACATACATATTCGTACTGCCCACCTGTATAGCCAGGCTGGGCATTCGATTTTTTAAGGCAAAAGGCGTAGGAAAGCTCAATAATGTTAGATAGAGAGTCAGTGACGATACGATTGCAATGGCCGCAGACCGTCTGCACCCTTTACCACCCTCCTGCCACAGAAAACCACCACCACCACCACTACGCAGTGCGTACTGATGCTATATTCGCAGCAAGCCCCCGTCCTGATAATGGTCCATATACAGCCAAACCATGCATCGCAGGCGGGGGGAGGCCACACTGTCCGTCTATCCTTCTCCTGCAAAGCGGCCTGTGGACGGTGGATATTAAAATAATATGATACTCCATTCATCCATTCATTTATCCATTCATTTATCCATTCATCCACGCCATCGTCATGGCCAGCGTCATCGTCATCGTCATCATCACCGATCATGCCTGGTTTGCCGCTTCTGGGAAACCAGGCACCGTGGATGATCGCCGCTCGCCGCCACTCCCAGGCCAGGGTCAGGAACACACACCCCTGGGAACTAACAAGAGAAAAGGTAAGGCTTGCTTCTCTAGCGATCCCTTCTTCAAAAACTACCCTCAGTACCGTGTGATGGACGGTTGATCGGTCGATGATCGTACACAGATGAAACCTGCACCTCCCCTCCCCAGCCCAACCCGCTGGCCACATCATATATTTTCTTTTTTTTTTTTTTTTTTCCTGCATTCTATCCTTCCGTTTCTGAAACGAACCATGACGACAACAACCCACCCGCGTCGTACGCAGATCTGAATCGAAACTGACGAGGCCAGGAGCGGCAGGAGGCGGGCAAACCGAAGAAGGGCAACAGAACGGATCCATAACTATTCACATTCCGTAGCAGCCACAAGTTCCCACAGTACCATGCCACGACATCCATGGTTCGAACTCCACCACAGGGGCGATGATATCTCATCTGCCGGTC